CCAAGCTATCTACAAGAAGCCCCCGCAAAGTCCCACTGTTGAAAAAAAGACGTGCTGAAGAGGTTACAATTTGCCAAAGAGCACATTGACTGGCCTAAAGAGAAATGGCGCAACATTTTGTGTGACTGATGAAAGTAAGATTGTTCTTTTTGGGTCTAGTGGCCGGAGGCAGTTTGTCAGACAACCCCCAAACACTGAATTCAAGCCACAGTACACTGTGAAGACAGTGAAGCATGGTTGTGCAAGCATTATGATATGGGGATGTTTCTCATACTACGGTGTTGGGCCTATTTATTGCATACCAGGGATCATGGTTCAGTTTGAATACATCAGAATACTTGAAGAGGTCATGCTGCCTTATGCTGAAGAGGAAATGCCCTTGAAATGGATGTTCCAACAAGACAACGACCCCAAACACACCAGTAAACGTGCAACATCTTGGTTCCAGACCAACAAGATTGATGTTATGGAGTGGCCAGCCCAATCCCCGGATCTTAATCCAATAGAAAACTTGTGGGGGTGACATCAAAAATGCAGTTTCTGAGGCAAAACCAAGAAATAGAGAAGAACTATGGAATGCAGTCCAATCATCCTGGGCTGGAATACCTGTTCACAGGTGCCAGAAGTTGGTTGACTCCTTGCAACACAGATGTACAGCATTCTCAGAAACAGTGCTTATACAACTAAATATTAAGAGATTCAAAGGAAAGCAAAATCTTCAAACATTTTTCAGTTTATATAGCGAATGTTTGAGTTTGTAAAGATGAATACAAACACTGCTATATTTTGAACTGTCTAATATTCACTTTTCTTCAATATTTTTATAGGAACAACACAAATTTGATATATTTTTCTTCATGTTTTGATTTGGAATTGAATGTGTAGTGTTCCCAATGCATTTGCGTGTATGGAAATAAAATCTGTTAGAAGGATTTTGAGCTTTATTCACTTTTTTCAACACACTGCTATTATTTTGAACACAACTGTACGTGGACAATTTTTATTCAAGCGTGCCACTATTGAGACATTTGTACAATCTTGGAATTGGCGCATGTGGCAAAGTGTGATCTAATGTGTGCCCACCATTAGAAGTGGGTGGATGCAGGGCAGTATATTCTAATGGTGGGCATACCACACACTTTTTCTGGCAGAAATTTCTTCTCTTTTTTTCATTCAGCCCACAGGCTGCATACAAAAAAAAGAACATAGCATATACACCCAACAAGGACCAGCGACGTACTGGTACATCACTGGAATTTGAATGGTTATACCAGGATGATGCCCACAGCTGCAGGCATCATCCTGGTATCGTTTTTTTTTTTTCAGCCGGCAATCGGCTTTCATATAAAAGCAATCTTAGTGGCTAAATAGCTGCAGGATTGCTTTTACAAGCAGCGGGAGATGATACCCCCCTCCCCCTCTGCCTTCCACGCCCTTCTCGGGCAGTCTCGTGCCATTGGGGGAACCTGAGAATGCAGCCAGGGTTTCTGCCAGCTGACCATAGAGCTGATTGGAGACCAGAGTGGTGCCAATCATCTCTATAGTCTAACAATTCGGAAGCTACGGTTTCGTAGGATATAAATAGCGCCATTTATAAATTGGGAAAGTATCTGATCACACCAATTTTGGTTTGATGAGATAATGTAAGGGCAGAGGAGATATCTAGAGTCTGATAGACCCCAGATTTCTCAAAAAAGAATATATGACAATGCCCATTAAAGTTATAGGGGATATTTGCATTCCCTGTGATAGCATTAACAGTGATCAAAAAAAAAAATGAAAGGTACAGTGTAAAAATAATTAAAAAAATCAAAATGACTTAAAAAAAAAAAAAAAACCTTGCCCCTCCCATGCACACACACCTGTGTGCACAAGCATTGACCCTGTGGCGGTATGTAAACAGCGGATGCACCATACATGTGAGGTATCGCCGTGAACGTCAGATCAAGGGCAGTAATTCTAATACTTGACCATTTCACGGGGCATGCACAGTTTTAAAAGCATGTCATGTTTGGTATCTATTTACTCGGCATACCATCATCTTTTATATCGTACCAAATAATTGTGTTTTACTGCATTAAAAGTAAAAAAAAGTGTATTTTTTAAAAAAAAAAATAGCTTTTGAAAAAATACTGCGCGAGTACTATGTGCCATAAAAAATTGTAGTACCCACAATTTTATTCACTAGGGTGTCTGCTTTAATAAAATATATGTTTGGGGGTTTAAATTAATTTCCTAGCAAAAAATACAGATTTTTTTCATGTGAACAAAAAGTGTCAGAGAAGGCTTGATCTTCAGGTGGTTAGAAGAGTGAGTGATATGTGGCATAAACTTCTAATGCTGGGCATAAAACGCCCCCACCCCCCCCCAAAACGATCCATTTTTGGAAAGTAGACACCCCAAACTAATTGCTGAGAGGCATGTTGAATCAATAGAAGAATTTATTTTTTTACCACAAGTTTTTGGAAGATGACGAAAAATTAGTATTTTTTTTTTTTTACACAAAATTGTCAATTAAATGTTTTATTAGTCACACATGCCATGGGTATATGTGGAATTACTCCCCAAAATACATTCTGCTACTTCTCCCGAGTATGGGGGTACCACATGTGAGAGACGTTTTGGCAGTCTATCCAAGTACAGCCAATAAGCACCTTCAGGCTTTTAAAGGGCTTTACTTCCTCATTACACTTCCTGACTACCTATCACAGTTTCAGAGGCCCTGAAATGCCAGGATAGCACCAACCCCCCCCCCCCCCCCAAAATGTCCCCTTTTTGGAAAGTAGACACCCCAAGGAATTTGATAAGTATGGTAAGTATTTTTTGCAGATCTCATTTGTTGCCACACGTTTTTGGAAAATAAAGAAAAAAAACAAAAAACATATTTTTTTTCTATTCTTTTTTAATATTTCAAAACCTTGTGAGAAAAAATGAGATCTGCAAAATACTCACCATGCCTCATTTTAAATTCCTTGGGGTGTCTACTTTCCAGAAAGGGGGTCATTTGGGGGGGGGGGGGGTTGGTGCTATCCTGGCAATTCAGGCCCGTCGAAACTGTGATAGGTATTTCAGGCTTTCAAAGTGGTGATTGGATTTCAGGCTCCTGTATGTGGCTAGGCTCCCAAAAAGTCCCACACATGTGGTATCCCCATACTCGGTAGAAGTAGCAGAATGTATTTTGGGGTGTAATTCCACATACAGTTGCAAGAAAAAGTATGTGAACCCCTTGGGATTACGTGGAGTTTTGCATGAATTGGGCATAAAATGTGCTCTGAACGTCATCTAAGTCACAACAATAGAAGAACACAGTCTGCTGAACATAATACTACACAAACATTAGATGTTGCCATGGTTTAATTGCACATAACATGTAAACATTCACAGTGCAAGGAGGAAAAAGTATGTGAGGCCCTAGCTTAATGAATTCTCCCAGAGCTAATTGGAGCCAGAAGTGAGCCAACCTTGACTCCAATCAGTGTGATGATATTGGATGTGATGCTGTCAGGAATGGACTCACCATTAGTGGTGGGACTCATCTGCCGTGTGGGCTGCAGTACCAGGGCTGGCCAGCGGGTGCTCTCAGCAACCAGAAGCTCACTCCTGCAATCAGCCATCACCTGAGGATGATTGCAGGAGGTGTATTTAAGGAATGGCCAGACCTGCAGTCAGTGCCTTGGTGTATGTTTCCCATGAGCCCCTGTACCTGCATCCTGTCTGCTTCCTGCCTGATCCTGACTCTGAACGAACTCTGCCTGTCCTGACCTCGGCTATTCCTGACCACTCTTTCCGCTCGCTCCTGGTACCTGTTTGCCCCTTTGCTACTGACCCGGCCTGCCTGACTACATTTGATTGTATATATGGTTATCTGTTGGGTGTGGGTTGTTTGCACTGTGTTATGTTTACCTTGCACTGCGTTTGTGTTGTTTAGTCTTCAATAAATTGTCTTGTTTACACTATACCTGAAGCCCGCGTTTCCCTGTGTCAGTCCACACACCCTCTGGTCATACCTGGAGCCCTGACATTACACCAAGGCCATTCCTGACCAGAAGTGGCTGCACAGGGAAGCCATCTTGGCTTGTTGTTGGGAAGGATGCATCCTGAGGAGGTTATATACTTGTATCTGCTAGTCTTAGATGACAGAGAATATGCCTATCAGACTCTGCAGGAGTATGCCAGGGATCAGCTGCTAGAATGCATACGGGTCGCTCATTCCCTAGTAGATCAGGGCATGGAGTTCTCTAAGGTGCAACCATTGATTCAGGCTTGTGTTGAGTTGGCTTCATCTAGTACCCCTGAAAGCAGGGATGACTTTCTTCCACCATTCAGTGTGGATCAAATAGAATCACTGGTATGGTTGTTGGAGGATGATCCGGATTGCTTCTGGGAACATTATTCCGCATGTTCACCACATGTGCTAGTGGAGTGTATAAACGCAGTGCAGTCTTTGGTCAAACAGGCTATGTGTAAGCTGAGTTTTGTTCAACCAATACTACAGTCCTGGTCAGACTTGTTACACCCAGCCTCAGTCAGCTTGCAACAAACCCGTCCTGCTTCTCTCATTCATTCTCTGCTCAAAGCTCTAATCCTGCATTCCCGACAGTACCCCCAGTTACAGCCCAATATACCCTGCTATCTACCACATGTCAGTACCCTGTTCCCACTCCCTGCACCTATCCTGCCTTTAACCCTGTAAAAAAGGCTGCTGTAACAACTATTCCCTCCTCTGTTCCACCCTCCAGCTCTTCTCTGTCCCCAGCTACTCCATCCATTTACAGACCTGCATTTACTTGCAGTGCCCCAGTAACTAAACCCAAGAAGAAGCGAAAATTCTTTCCAACCAGTACCATCCTACCAGTATCCAAACCGGTCAGCCTGCCGTCTTAGAACCCACCTTCCGTTGTTCAGCCTGATGACCCAGTATACGCTACCCAGCCTGATGACCCCATCCAGCCTGATGACCCGATCCAGCCTGATGACCCGGTGTTCGTGATCCAGCCTGATGACCCGATCCAGCTTGATGACCCGATCGTGCCAGATGACTCGGTGCCCGCTGTCATGCCAGATGACTCGGTGCTCGCTGTCGTGCCAGATGACTGGGTGCCCGCTGTCGTGCCAGATGACTGGGTGCCCGCTGTCGTGCCAGATGACTGGGTGCCCGCTGTCGTACCAGATGACTGGGTGCCCGCTGTCGTGCCAGATGACTCGGTCCCCGCTGTCGTTCCAGATGACTCGGTGCCCGCAGTCGAGCTTGGTGACCCGGTGCCCGCGGTTCTGCTAGATGGCTCGGTGCCCGCTGTCGAGCTTGGTGACTCGGTGCCCGCTGTCGAGCTTGGTGACTCGGTGCCCGCTGTCGTGCCAGATGACTCAGTGCCCGCTGTCATGCCAGATGACTCGGTGCTCGCTGTTCTGCTAGATGGCCTGGTGCCCACTGCCTCGCCTGATGAGCCGCTGCCTCGCCTGACGGACCGTTGCCCGCTGCTCCACCTGACGGACGGTGCCTGCTGCCCAGCCTGATGTGGCCCGTGCCTGCTGCCCAGCCTGATGTGCCTCTGTCCGCTGCCCAGCCTGATGTGCCTCTGTCCGCTGCCCAGCCTGATGTGCCTCCATCCGCTGCCCAGCCTGATTTTCCTCCGTTCGCTGCCCAGCCTGATGTGCCTCCGTCCGCTGCCCAGCCTGATGTGCCTCCGTCCGCTGCCTAGCCTGATGTGCCAACCCCTGATGTCCAGCTAAACTGGCCAATAATGATTCCCAGCCTGCTCTGGGAGATCCTGTGTCCAGTAACCTGCCTTCCTGGGTTCTCCTACACAAGGAGAAGTCTACCAGCAGGAAACTCAGCCAGCCGGTTGACTCTGGCAGTAGGCTATCCAGCCAGTTACCTGACCCGGGCGGTGGAACATTTTGCCTACTAAGGACTGTTTGGAGCGTCCTGAGGCCGCTCCTTGAGGGGGGTACTGTCAGGAATGGACTCACCATTAGTGGTGGGACTCATCTGCCGTGTGGGCTGCAGTACCAGGGCTGGCCAGCGGGTGCTCTCAACAACCAGAAGCTCACTCCTGCAATCTGCCATCACCTGAGGCAGATTGCAGGAGGTGTATTTAAGGAATGGCCAGACCTGCAGTCAGTGCCTTGGTGTATGTTTCTTATGAGCCCCTGTACCTGCATCCTGTCTGCTTCCTGCCTGATCCTGACTCTGCTTTGATCCTGACTCTGAACGAACTCCGCCTGTCCTGACATCGGCTATTCCTGACCACTCTTCCGCTCGCTCCTGGTACCCTGTTTGCCCGTTTGCTACCAACCCGGCCTGCCCGACTACGTTTGATTGTATATATGGTTATCTGTTGGGTGTGTGGGTTGTTTGCACTGTGTTATGTTTACCTTGCACTGCATTTGTGTTGTTTAGTCTTCAATAAATTGTCTTGTTTACACTATACCTGAAGCCCACGTTTCCCTGTGTCAGTCCACACACTTCTGGTCATACCTGGAGCCCTGACAGTTGCTGACAGCTGTCCTGCCCTTAAAAAACACACACCTGTTTTGGGTTTACTGGTTTCAAGAAGCACTGTCTGATGTGAACCATGCCTCGCAGAAAAGAGCTCTCAGAAGACCTACGATCAAGAATTGTTGACTTGCATGAAGCTGGAAAGGGTTACAAAAGTATCTCCAAAAGCCTTGATGTTCATGTGTCCACGGTAAGACAGACTGTCTACAAATGGAGAAAGTTTAGCACTGTTGCTACTCTCCCTAGGCGTGATCGTCCTGTAAAAATGACTGCAAGAGCACAGCGCAGAATGCTGCATGAGGTAAAGAAGAATCCCAGAGTGTCAGCTAAAGACCTACAGAAATCTCTGGCACATGCTAACATTTTTGTTGACACATCTACAATAAGGAAAACATTAAACAAGAATGGAGTACATGGGAGGACACCACGGAGGAAGCCATTGCTGTCCAAAAAGAATTTTTCAGCACGTTTGAAGTTTGCAAAAGAGCACCTGGATGTTCCACAGCACTACTGGCAAAATATACTGTGGACAGATGAAACCACGATTGAGTTGTGCGTGAAGAAAAAAAGGCACAGCACACCAACATCAAAACCTCATCCCCACTGTAAAACATGGTGGAGGGAGCATCATGGTTTGGGGCTGCTTTGCTGCCTCAGGGCCAGGACGGATTGTTGTCATTAATGGGAAAATGAATTCCAGAGTTTATCAAGACATTTTGCAGGAAAATGTACGACCATCTGTCCGCCAACTGAAGCTCCGCAGAGGATGGGTGATGCAACAGGACAATGACCCAAAGCATACAAGTAATTCAACAAAACAATGGCTGCAACAGCACAGAATACGCTTTCTGGAGTGGCCCAGTCAGAGTCCTGACCTCAATCTGCTTGAAATGCTGTGGCATGACCTCAAGAGAGCGATTCACACCAGACATCCCAAGAATATTGCTACACTGAAACAGTTTTGTGAAGAGGAGTGGTCCAAAATTACTCCAGATTGTTGTGCAGGTCTGATCTGAAACTACAGGAAACGTTTGATTGAGGTTATTGCTGCCAAAGGAGGGTCAACCAGTTATTAAGTCCAAAGGTTCACATACTTTTTCTTCCCTGCACTGTGAATGTTTACATGTTATGTGCAATTAAACCATGGCAACATCTAATGTTTGTGTAGTATTATGTTCAGCAGACTGTGTTCTTCTATTGTTGTGACTTAGATGACGTTCAGAGCACATTTTATGCCCAATTCATGCAAAACTCCACGTAATCCCAAGGGGTTCACATACTTTTTCTTGCAACTGTATACCCATGGCTTGTGCAAGAAATAAATCATTTAAATGACAACTTTGTGTAAAAAAAAAAATGTTTTTGTCATTTTCCAGAAACGTTTGGAAAAAAAATAAATCTTACATGGACTCAATATGCCTCTCAGCAGATAGCTTAGGGTGTCTACTTTCAGAAAAGGGGTCATTTGGGGTGTTTGTACTATTCTGGTATTTTAACACCTCAAGAAATGTGATGAGCAGTCAGAAAGTAAAAGCTGTTTAAATTCCATTATCTATACCATAGTTTGTAGACGCTATAACTTTCACACAAAGAAATACATATACACTTTCCCCCTGATGAAGCCACAAGACCGGTGGCGTAACGGGTAGGGGGGGGGGCTCTGACGTCACTACGCCTAGTCGGCTTGTCACGGCGAGTACAGCAAGTGTGCAGAGCACACAAGGAGTTGTTTACCAAGGCTGATTTTAATTGTTTTCCATGTGAGTGGGATTACTGGCTTTGTAATAAAGTGTTTCAAAGGATAAGGCACTATCTCTTGCTTTCTTTTTGGCACCATATATGTGGAGTTTTTGGAGTGGATATAAGGAGGAATAGACCCCTGGAGTTGAGAAGGAGGAAAATCCATCCATGCATTCATCCTCAGACTACCATAGGATATTATACAGTGGAGAGACACCAGGTGGAGGATTGGCAGGTTACAGCGTGGAACCATCCAAAGCAATTGAGGAGCAACAGTATATACATCTATCCTTTTAGGATAAACAGCTATTTTAGCCTACATATTGGGCTAGAAAAGGAGGTGAGCGCATAATAGAGCATTATTCTTCCCGCAGCCATCCATGTGTTGGAATAAATCCATTTTTTGTCTTAATAATATTTCATGAAAGGAGGACTTTTCTTTAATATATGTTTTTTGGACACTTGTTGATGGGATATTGTTCATAGATATTGTTTTTGGTCACTAATTTATTTAATTTTATTTTAGGGGGATTATTTTAAATAATCCCAGTTTTTTTGACACAATTGTATGGTGTATAATTTTATGGATTCACATATTTTTAGTACAATAATTAATTAGCACAAGAGCGCAGTACCATTGTTTGATCATATATAGCTATTAACACTATTCATGAGTTGGTGTAGGGTGTTAGCGAACCAATTTGTGCATAGTTAGGAGGTTGTTTTTTTTGTTAGATTTTGTTTATAATACTTTTTGAATTTCACCATATTAGCTCACAAGTAATTATTGGCACTTGATTGATATTCATATACACTTACTGGGATTTTTTTAACCAAAAACATTTAGCAGAATACATTTTGGCCTAAATTTTTGACAAAATTTTAGGTTTTTTTGGATATTTGTTATGACCGAAATGAGAAAATATTTAAAAAAAAAAATGTTTTCTTAAAAAAAATTTTTGTTTATAGCGCCAAAAATAAAAAGTGCACAGGTGATCAAATACCACCAAAAGAAAGCTCTATTTGTGTGAAAAAAAGGACGTAAATTTTGTTTGGGTGCAGCATTGTATGATCGTGCAATTATCAGTTGAATTAGTGCAGCGCCGAGTAGCAAAAAGAGGCCTGGTCATTAAGGGGGGTAAGTCCTCAGAGTGCAAGTGGTTAACCATGTTGAGGAAAAACGTTTGGAGCTCATCATATCAAGGAGAAAAAAGAAACTAAGATTTCTAGAAGAAAAAATTCAAGTATTAAAAGAGAGAATGATGAGATTTGAGGATACCAAGGATTATAAAGAGAGAATGAATGGAATATGTTAAAAAAGTTGATTAGGATACACAAAAAAAAATTAAGAAATACTGTAGGGATACACAGGACTATAAAAATAAGTTGGTTTATAAGTGGCAGGAAGAGAGTGCAAAAGGTAACATGGATTCTAGAGCCTCTACGGAGGAAAGGGATGTTCAAACTATGGGCATTCCTTTTCCCTCTAGAGATAAGGAATCCCCTAATAGCAAGAGAAAATCACCATTTAAGCCTAAATTTAAAGAGGTTAACAATCAAGATCATGGACCTTATTATAGAGTACTGGTTCAGAATAGATTTGAACCTTTGACGGATTGGGATCAAATATCATCACAACCCTATCAATACTCCCATGGAGGGGATTTTCGGAGGAGGGATTATGGGGGTCCCCCATGGAGGGGAAGGGGGGATTTTACACCCAGAGGGAGAGGTGGTCCCTATTTTCCTCCATTGAGGGGAAGGAGGGGTTGGAGACCAGGTCCTCCGAGACCAAAGATAAACCCTTAAAGAAAACCCATTTATGGAGAAAGAGAAGGAGGGGTTGTAGAGGGGGTAAGGGAAAAAAGGAAAAGAGAGGTTTAAAACAAGAGATTTTCAATCTAAGTGACCAACAATTCAGTGAGGAAGAATTGAGGGTACTCAATTTTGGACTTAAATTTGCACCAGACAAACAATTGGATAAGATAGAAACCTATGTGGATGTACAGAAATTTATCAGAAAGCCTATGTGAAGAAGTTTTGGGGAAAAAAGGACCTTATGAGAAATAGGAAGCAGGGATATATATATGCATACGAATTTGAGGAATCATTCAGTATTCAATCCCAAAAATAATAATAATTTTTGTGTCGACACGTTTAAAAAAAATGGTGGAAAGTGATCTGGAGGTTCTCACTGTCCCTCGTAGTAAAAATAAAAAAGATATTTTGAATGGTCTGGATTTATTGGAAAAGAACAAAAATATTGTAATTAGGCCAGCGGATAATGGAGGGGGGGTTGTTATTTTAAATAAAAAGGATTATGATGAGGAATTGGAAAGATTGGTGAGTGATCAAAGTACTTATGAGGTATTAAAGGGGAATCCCACTGTTAAACATAAGGTAAAATTGAGAAAACGTATTAATAGGGGGAAAAGGAGAGTATTTTGTATAAGAAAGAGAGTAGATACCTTATTCCTGATGCTCCCATTACTCCAGTGATGTACCAGTTACCTAACATACATAAGAGTCTTGTAAAACCACCAGGGAGACTGAT